CAAAAGGTCAGATCGATAGCGTCATTTTTGGAACAAACGCCGTAAAAGGTCATATCTATAGCGGCGTTTCTGGATACAAACATCGCAAAAAGCCAGATCTATAGCGGCATTTTTGGAACAAACGCCGCAAAAGGTCATATCTATAGCGGCGTTTGTATACGCCGCGAATTAAACTACTTTTTCAAATGTTGTTTTCTACTCTTTTGTTACCCAAATTTAAAATGTTAACATATAGCATTATTCAATAAACTTGACATTCATAACATCAAACTTGAAATTCATAACAAGAAACTTGAAATTTATATTAATAAATCAAGGTTTACATTAATGTAGTTCAACATTGTTAACTGGAATAAACAATAATATGAGCCATAACCACCAAAAAGTATAACAATACTCAAATTCGAAAACCCTTCACAAAATAGTTGCCAATCCCACAGTTTCCCCCTCATCGATTCTACTTTCCTGAGCATTGAGTGAACTGTGGCCTTGCTGAAAGGTGGAACATAATCAAATTAGTCAGGACATGTCACAGAACATTAAAGAACAACAAAATCACAAAACATCATAACAGACCCATTTTTCCAGAGGTGTCGCCTTAAATACAACTGGAAAACACCCACAGTTGTAAAGAACAAAGAAAACATTTTACAGTGAAAAACCAATTACAACAAAGAAAAAGAAAACATTTTACTGTTGCAATGCAGCATCAAGTTGAATCCACTTAGGAAGCATGAAACTTAGAGTTATAGACATAGTGAAACCATCAATGAACAACATTGTAATCGCATTTTATTAACAATTCATTTTAACATTCATAAAAACTAATCCTATCACAACTGCAAACTTAACTTCTCTTGAACAATTAACATTAAACAACTCTGAGCTTAATGATTAACAACCAACTAGAAAATAAAACAAATATGCAAGGACATCCCAAAATGAAGAAGAAAATGAGGAAAGGTACCTGAAGTACAACATACCAAACTTTCGAAAATTTGACATCATGCAATATCCCAATTACCAAATACAGTATTGCAAGGCTGGATGTATATGAATTATTTGTGATGAGAAAGCATATGCTTTCTCTGTTGGAAATGAAATTATACGCACAAATTTGTATGAATACTTGCATTATTTGTAATCAAAAAGTCGGATTCAGATAAGAAAGGAACTAAGAACAAAGGAGCAAATTCAGATAAGAAAAACTGGATTGAGAATAAAAAAAATCAAAAGAACCTTTTTTCTTATTTCTTATTTGTAATCAAACTCTAGATTTAAGAAAGAAACAAAAATAAAGCGAACATAGTGACATTTGCAATGCAAATAGACAGGAAGCGGTCGTACCTTTTAGGAAAGACAAAACTGGGAACTGCACCTGCGATGGAGTCTTCGATTTGACATCTGAAAATCAGAACGAAAATCAAAATGAAAATGACTGAAACAGTTATTTTAAGTAACCATGATTATTTGGTGCCATTTAGAGTCTCATCAATACTCTGAATTCTAATGACAAGTAGGCTAAATAATGAAACACATTATAGACATGTTCCTTATAGAGTCATAAATCACATAATATGCTTCCATGAAAGCAGTCCGGTAAAATAGTGGTAGTAAACAACCACTGATGATTTGGGAAGTATTTTCTTACAGAATTTTGGAGTGGAACTAGAGTTTGCTGGATTTTTTACTAAATAACGAATGTCGACCTTCAGCAATTAACTCCCCTGTTGCTTTGTTTCTAACAAGAACAAGTGTTCCATCATAGCCTCCTCTTTGTACCAAAGCCTTTGAGGTAATCTCTAACTCATCCTGCAAATGGCCTCCGATCGTATTAAAAGCAGTATAACCAAACTCTCTTACAAACAGATTAACTAATGTGAAAGAAGAAAGACCAGTGAGAATATAATCTGCAATGGATTATAATACACGACTGAAGAGAACCAACTACAGAAAAACCAATAGACAGATTTCTATTCATCAGTAAAACCTAAAAGAATGAGGATCAATAATCAGATTGCAAATCTTAATCCAAGTATTATAAGCATTTCAACCAGTGAATTTTGTCTCAACTCTAAGCAAGAAAAGGTATTTGAGAAATGGAATGATATAAACATCTATATGAATGGAGTTGACATACTCCGTAGCCTCTTCCTCCAAAACGTAGTCAGAAACTGTTAAATCCAACATGTTAGGCCAAACCAAAAATAAAACAAAGTAAAATCTCTACCGTAAAAAAAGTACATAACATGAACCAGCAGAATGAAGAATTGTTTCTCAAATAATTTGTTATTTTTACTTTAAGACTTAAATGTGGAAATATACTACCAAAAAAGAAAGACTACAATACATTGTTTTCTTTATAAGCAGGCAAATTAAGGTCATAAGAAACTACAAAGATCTAATTGAGAAACATTAAACTAGTTAAGTCTTTTTCCATCTTAATTCCTTGAATTTTTAGTCTTCCCCATTATCTGCACTTTGTAGGTCAACATAGGTGAGTAAAGGAAAAAAAGAGTCGTCTGGTCACCAGACACTACCAACCTATTTACAAGTGCATAAAACCATTACATGAAAACTTAAACTTTAAAGCAACAGATGACCAGACAAAGCAAGCATGCACCGAATCATGTACATACAAGTTGAAAAATGTCATTTGTGCTCACAACCTTTTTAAATCAATTATGATTGCACACCAACTTCAACAACTAATAACATTAAAAAAAGAATTAAACACAAGAATCACCTTAAAACTTGTTCACTATTCTGCACATTTCATACAATAGGTTGTTTCCTATAGCACATTTTGTATGGATCCAGTCCAGAAGACCATAAAACAAATCTAACCTTGCTCATTTTCATAACCTGCTCTGTTTATCCCACCAAGAACCTTATATGCCTCTGAATGAATCGAATCCACCCTCAATGAGTAAATCTTAACACCAGCTTCCAGTGTATAACTGGCCTGTACAAAGTATATTGCAAGTCCTTCATTAAACATGAAGAAACAATGGTAATATAATCAATTCATCAGGCTATAATTTTCTTAGCCTTTCTCTCCAAGCATTTCTGATAGTTTTGGCTTTCACAGTTACCACTAGACTTAGCAATATTAGACACAAACACGAATACACAAATATATGAAAACATATATAAACAAACTCATTAATGTATAAAAAATATTTATGCAAGTATATAATACTCTAAACATAATTATGGCACAACAAAATATATGAACACGACAAGGCAGAATGCACAGATTTTAAATATCATTTACTTAAATCTACAAAACAGAAACCCACATTGATGAGATAGAGAGAGTGAACGGGAATTAAAGACATTTTCACTGGCCAATTTGATTCAATTTTGGAACAACTCGAGAATCTGATATTTATTGAGGCAAGGATCGGGATCAATAGGCGGCTGAGCATGGGAAGTTACGGGCTTGCGGCGGATAGCAGCGGGTTGCGCGGCTCGAGCCTGTGCACGCTCCAGTTTATCGTCGTTAGAGCCCAAGAAGAAGGGGCTTGTTGGAGACTAGATGCGAGCAGTCATAGGGATCCGTGGCCTAGGGTTAGGGCTTAGCTCTTCTACCATTGGCTTAAGGAGGTTTAGGCGTTTTGCTTCTTCAACAGTTCGACGGGGCCTCCTTGTTCAGAGCTTCTGTAGTCTGAAATTAGCGGAAAAAGAAAATGAAAATAACAAAGGGGAAAAGGCAGTGTCTTCGCAATCACGTTACAAGAAAATAATTAAAAAATGAATATATATTTTAATTTCCCTCCAATTTCATGGTTTGAATGTTTTATGGTTCTAGTAGCGTTTGTTGGAAAAAAAGCTGCAACAGATGAAATCTATTGCGGCGTTTGTAAAAAACCGCCGCTAAAGCACTATACTATTTGCGGCGTTCGTGAGAAAAACGCCACTATAGGTGTCCTCTATTACGGTGTTTGTGTAAAAACGCCGCTAAAATTCTAATATGTTACGGCGTTTATTGAAAAAAATGCCACTATAGGTTAATCCTATTACGACGTTTGTATAAAAACGCTGCAAAAGTACCAATTTATTGCGGCGTTTATTGAAAACACCACTACAGATGGACCTATTGTGGCGTTTCTATAAAAACGTCGCTAAATTACTACTCTGTTGCGGCGTTTGTCGAATAAACGCCACTAAAGATGAACATATTGCGTCGTTTGTTGAAGAAGCGCTGCTAACATTTCCATTTGTGGCGTTTGGAATGTAAACGCCACTATATATTTAAAATGGGTGGTGTTTACTCTCAAAACGCCGCTAAAGAACAGTTTTGCTGGTGAATCTTACGTTACCAATTTGATAATAAAAATTCTTTATGTACTAACATGGGAGAAGGTACCTAGTTCATATGCCAATTTTAAAATAAATTTTTTCCTGGATACCAATTTGATAGAATGTACCTAATTTACATACCAAATGAACATTTAATTTTTTTTTTACTTTATTCTAATAACATGTATAATTTATGATTTAACCATGAGATCTAACAATTCAAAAATTATATATTTAAATATGATGAATTAAAATAATAAAATAAAAATATAGTTTATACATACTATTAAAGTTAATAATAAAATGTAAATTGCATGAACCGAACGACTTCAAGTGGTAAAGGAATTATTGTTATTCCTTAGGTCTCAGGTTTGATCACTAAGGATGTCAGGATATGAGCGTTCAATGTCAATTGATTAAGAGTTATCTTTAAGCATATATTGTCTTATACTTACCACATATTAATAAAAAATAATAAATTATAAATTAATGTTCTTAATGATTATTGCCTAAGTTAAAATCAAAATTCTAAAATCTAAAAATATGAAATTAAAAGCGTAAATGTATTCTAGAATCTTCATGGCCATGTAGATAACAATCAACGTGTACATCCCTTTAATGACTAATGAGTTAAGAACTAAATATTAAAAAAAATGGTAAAGAGTGGAGAGACGAGAAACAAATGAGACCAAAATCGTGCGATTTGGGGATGGAGCCCAACACGGTTTCGGCACGTTTCGCGCTATTGCTTCAACTTGCGTATAAATACATGCCACTTGTGGGAAGGAAAAGGAAAAGGAAAAAGAAAAAGAAAAAAAAAGGGAAAACATTCGACTTGTGCAGGGAGGGTGAAGAAGCCATGACCGGAAAAAAGCAAGCGGAGGAGAAGGATGCCGGAAAGGAGGACCACAAGCTGAATCAAAGGAAGATTGAGGTTGAACTTGAAATTTTCCTTTTCAAAAACTCATGCTTAATTTCCTTTGAATTTTTTTAACCTGGAATTCTTATAACGCCTTGCTTTTGATCTTTGTTTTACGATTACAGAAGAAGTGGAAGGAAAAGGTGAAATTCTTCGGAGGACTGGCAGCTAAGATGACTGCTGTGCAAGCAGAGCTGATAGGTGAAATGGACAAGAATCTGCCGGAACTCGGATCCGACACGAACTCACCGAATCTTCAACCTCTGCAACTCACTGTTGACCAGCTCCGAAAGGTCAACGCGCTGGCCACTCTGTTGAACGACGAGGTCGAAGATTTTGTCGATGAATTTCTCGATGAAATTCAGAAGGCTGATCAAGATGATTCTCCTCCCCCCCCCCCAAATATGAAATATTCTGATTTTATTTTTGGATACATGCCCTAAATTTGGATCTTCTTTTGGTAGTTTTTTTGGTTTATGTTATTTTTGTTAGGGTATCAAATAGCGTTTCGAAAACGCTACAACGGCCGTGATATTACGGTTGTGTCACCGTCCGAAATCGTTATTAGTTGTTTTTGTGGTGGGTCATAGATTCACACAAATTACGGTCGATTGCCCCCGTAATTTAACGGTAAACGGACGATTGCGTCGATAACGGGACATAATCGCCGTTATTTCAACCGTTATTGCAAAAAAAATTAAAGAAAGATTTTTTGTGTTCATCGTCATTAAAATTGTATTTTTTTTTCTTTTCAAATTTACGTTTTTTTATATATGTATGTTGAGATTCAAAAAAAAAAAAGAAAAAAGAAAATGGGAAAGTAAAAGTAAAATTAAAGAACGAACCTATTTTGTGGGTCTCGTCGGAGTGGAGTTCATTGTAATCGGAGAAAGAAATCTTCATCGGAACTTAATATTGTTGAAGAAAAAAAAATCATTCACGCTCTGGATTTATGGTAGAACATGTTATGATTTTGGAGTTTTTTTGCTTGATTTTGATATTGAGTGTAGAGAGAAGAGAGCAGAAAAAAATGAGGAAGAAAGGAGAGACTAGAGAAGGAGAACGTGCGAGGTGGGTGAGGGAGGGATATAATTTAGGATTAAAATATTTATGGGTTATTAGGTTTAAAACAAAACATTTTGGGCTCATGTTTTTAAAGTAAATTATAAAATATATCTTTAAAGAATATATTAATTTTTTATCCTTTCACTTTTTAAAATTTATAATTTAATATATAATTTTGAATGTAAACTTTAATTTTTATTTAATTTAATCATAATTTCAGTAATTTAAATAATAATGTGTTCACAATGTTATCATGAATTAATTATCTTATCCTATTACCGAAATTTTAAAGTTTTTTATATGGTTAAACTATATTATATATGTCATTTTAGCTTAGAAAACATTCTAAAAATTATTAAAAATGACTCTTTATAATTATAATTATAATTATTATGTTTTATGATAAGTTGTGCGAAATTTAAAATAATTCACGATCGCGGCACCTGCAGTGACCGCGATAGCATCCGTTATGTCCGCAATCGCGATAAACCCGACGCGACCTGAAACGCGGTCGAAAACGCTATTTAAATCCCTGTTTTTGCCAGCAAGCTTTTCATCTCACATATGACTGATAAAGAGTTTGTTATCTTAATCCTTTTCATTCCATAAAATCCATTGGTGGAGTAATAAAAATAAAAATAAAAGATTCCCGGATCGAACCTTATTCTTCCATCAACCTGAATCTTTTCTTTTTAGTTATTGATTTTTGTGTTGTTGGATTGTAGGGATCGAAGAAGTGGAATATTCCAAGTAGCAAGTTCTTGTTTTCCCATTTGCTTAATCTGTCAGTGTGTAAGTCTGTACTGTGCTTTTTGTCTTAGAAGCTTAATTTGATTTGTCAGGGTTGAATATGCAGAAAAAGCTTGTTGTCGTCGTGGTACTTATTTACTTTAAATAAATTATTATGCTAAATGATGATTCTGTGCTCGACTCTTTGATTATGAATGTGGTGAATTATGATTGTTGTTAAGATTCTTTCTAGTACCTGCTTTGTTTTTCTTCTTTCTTTGGCATAAATTATTATGTACTTAGAAACCTTAAATCCCTTTTGGAAAACCTCATTTGTTGTTATTGATTCAAACAAGTCCTAAGATTGTTTTGAAAAATCTTGAAACCTCGAATATTCTTTTAAATATAAAACTCGAATTTTTTTAAACAATTGTTTGGTTGCTGAGAGAAAGGAGAGATTATTATTATTAGATTATTTTGAAATGATTGTTTGAGTAGCGATAAAATGAAGAAAGTATATATTTTTTGAATTCTTTTAAAACTATTGTTTGACCGTCAAGAATATTGTTTGGTTGTCGGGAAAATAAAGCAAATGGATGTTTGATTGCTAAAAAAAATGGGAAAATAAAATTTGAAGTAAAATATATATAATAAAATTTAATTTTAATTAAATAGAAATATTTTATAAATTTAGACTTAACAAATATCACATGCCCCGAATCCCCGATATAATTAATTAACACTTTTTTATGGATGAGATAAGAAATAATATAATTATAATTTAAATATTTATTTTAATAAAAAATCAATACCTATAAAATACATAACATAAGCATTCCATTGAATCTTCAAAACCCTAGTCAAAGAGAGATTTTCCCTCAAAGAATCTGAATACCCTAGTTTAACATGAGTCTGTCATGAATTCAATTATAGAATTTATTTGGAATTGAAACTATAAGTTTTTCCTTTAGAATTATTACATTGAAAAGAAATAATTATTACATCATGGGTTTTGTTTTCCTATTTGATTTCGATTAAAAGGGTTAAGAGCCCTTAAGAGAGTTCACCAAGTGTGTGTTACTAGAGACGCAATAATACTAAGGTTGATTGGATGTTAATCAATAGTTATTAATGAATTAAATCTCTAAACAAAATCCCACAAATTTAAATACATTCATCGGACTACATAAACAATTTTTTGTATTATTATATACTCTTTTCTTGAACTGCATATTATATGAAGTGTTCTGATAGTCTCCACAAGTATTATAACCATACGCTCCAATAGAACATGTAAAGCTACACGCAAGGCTAGGCTGGGCGGCGTGGTCCCAACTCCACACACACACATGCACATGGTTTCTCCAGGTACTGTAGGTCAAATAATATATTCAATGCATTGATGCCTTCATGAAACGACATTAAGATGAAATAAGTTTTGTGGATACCCGTTTTTGTCCGGGTCTTTCTTTTCTTTTGTTATATATTATTTATATTTAAATTATTATTATTAGTATTATTAGTTTATTATTAATATTTTATTTACAATTTTAATATACAAATTTTGCAGGCTCAATCCCGGAGCCTAACACCAAAGCCCAATTTGCTAATCCAATCATTAGACTTGGACTCTACCCACTGGACTGTGACCTGACCCGATGTGGCTTGTTTGGGAAAATCCTAAACACATTAGGGTTTTAACCCTAACTCATCAGCCAGCCAACTGCCGCCTCTGGCTGTTTAGCTTCCCCAGCCTTGCGTGGTCTTCACCGGTCACTCCCGAGCCGAGTGAGCCGCTGGTGATTTCTCGAGTTACTGCCAATCTCTCCAGTCCATCCATCATCCACAGTGACCCTCAACAGTGAGATAGCAGAGAAATCAATGAAAAATTAGAAAAAAAATCCAAGCAAATCTCATCAAATCCAAGAGATGGCATCATGAGTATAGGGATATCATTCCCTACGAACTCAACCATCCATCAGTCAGAAGATATCAACACATGCATCAATAAAAGAAGAAAAATAACCCAAGCAAAAATAATAAAAAGAACCGAGATCCATTCGAACCATAACCGAGAAGAAAAGAAAAGAGGAGTATGAGAGGATAATACCTTCGTCGGAGGAGTGCCGAGAAGTCAAGTGGTCGCAGGAGTTCAAAGCTTTCGAGAGGTATAATCTTAGATCTAGGGTTGTTAGGTGGTTTTTAGATGAAAATGGTTTAGGTTTCGGGTAGAGGAAGGTGAGGATATGCTTTTGGGACCATCTGGTCCCTCCGGTCGCTGCTTGCTGCCGCAAGCTCAGCCGGGTCCCTCTCTCCGATGAGAGGAGTTTGAGAGATTTTTGAATCTCTCTCTCCTCTCTATTTTGATAAGAAATGAGAAATGGGGATGAATGGGTAAGCAAGCCCGATTTTGGGCCTTATATATCATTAGTGAAACGACGTAGTTTCACAGGGGGCCTTCTGTGTATTTTAGCTTGCGGGGTAACTACAATCTAGGTCCTTCCTCATCTGTAATTTGTTATTTTGGCCATTAATGGAAATGCATTCTATTTTAATTTCAAGCTCTCATGTTTCATATTTCTATTTTAGTCCTTATTATGTGTTATATTATTTATTTATTTATTTTTTGCTAATGTTCGACTCTGGTTTTTATATTCGTAAATGTTTCATTTTCGTCCCTGTCTAGTTATTATGCATTTTTGCTAATCTTTCGGATTTTGTCTTATATTTTTGTTTTATTTTATTTTAATCCCCATTTGTAACTGCAATTATTATGAGAATATTTGAATGCAGTCATAGCATTCATGCAAGTTCACATTCTAGTCCATGTTTGTTTGTGTTTATTATTTATGGTGTTTTTGACTTCTGCTTCAATGTTTATATAACACTCATTTTGGTCCTTAAATAAAGTTTAGAATATAAAGACTTAAATCCTATAGGTTTAATTTTATTTTATTTTAAGTCATTATATGTTGATTCTGAAACATCTATGTTTATGGGTTTATTACACATCTAGACTTTTATTACTTTATTTTTGTGGTTTGGTCCTATCCTTAGTTTTACTTTAATCTTAATTAATCAGGTGCACTACAATTTGATTATCTCTAAATATGGTTTTGTATTCTCTTGTAGATTGCTTGCGTTTGTTTATATTTTTCGTTTATTGTTTGTATCTATGATATTATATTTGCATGCATGTATGTATTTTACAAATTTTGACCTTATATCTATTTATATCCATGTATATGATGTAAATTTAGTTTGATCTCATTTATTTATTTATTTATTTATTTATTTATTTCATAAAGGACCCGTTAGTTAATGTTTTATTACATACTTGATTATAATATTTTGCAAATATTTTATCCTTTATATTTTATTAGGTATACGTGCATCTTATAAATATTTCAATATATATATTCTAATTATTTTATGTTATATGTTAACTTGTTGCTCGGAAAATTTCAAGAACAATGATTTGTAGAATGGGCGTGGAAAGCATTACTTGATCGAAGTATTGCTTGGTCGAAGTATTGCAATCCAATACGACATTCGAACCAAATAAGGACTTGAAATAAATTAATTGTATTTTGCTAATTATTAATTCATTCCATTTTAAACATTGCAAAGGTCTCTGAATAATAATTTATTTCATTTCATGTAAATTATCAATCTTCGTTCTACATTTTATATTCGATTCATTTTTTTTTTGTTAATCAATTTATTTTGTTGTATGTAAACATCAATTTTATATATATATTCAATTCGTGTTTTATCAAAGAGAGAATATTTTTTACGGATAAGAAATAGTCGAAATAGTTTTCCCGATGGAAGATTACTAATTTCGAGATTTCTTTTCGAGTTAAAGAATTTTCTCTATTTATTTAATTCGAATCAAATTAATTATATCTTATTAAATGGATCATCGGTT